TAGATTATTGGGCATGTCATTTACGTCCTACAACCTATGTATATCTATATTACTTCATTGTAGTCGATTTTTCACAAATCACATAGGCACTCAATCGGAAGCATACCGGAAGAAGCAGGAGCCGCTGTTTTTGTCTTGATGGCCTCCATACGTTGCTGCAATAGCTTTGCCTTCTCCTCCTTAGTCATAACAACCTTTGCAGGGGATGGTTGGGGTTTGGACTGAGCTGCACCTGTATTGGCAGACTGGGATTTCTGGGCGGCCACAGGTGCATTAAGGCCCTGTTTTTCAGGTGCCGGTGTACTTGTAGTGGTGCTTGCGCTGGTGTTAGGTGGCGTTGGGGGCTGTGTGGGAAGTGCAAAAGCCACTGGTTAGTCTGTACACAAGGCCAGTGATAGGGCAGCTGAGGCAAAGGAAGCAGCCGCCAAGTACATAAGTGTGTGTATAGACCCATAAACACATACATACACGTATATCAGGGCTTTAAGGGTGTAGGGTTGAATCTACACCAAGACATACACAGAGGTACCCCACAGCTTGATTGCCAGAAGGGGCCGGGAGTGGAATTACTGGGCCGGGAGTGGAATTACTGTCTCCAGTCACTTAGACAATGCAACTACTACACAGACCAATGCACTATACGGGCCAAGATAGACTGTTAGATCCATGCAGTTGTATGTGTATATGTCATGTATACCTACAAGTAGCAGTCGTTTGATCTGTCAAGTGAGATAATCCGAGAAGGATTGGGCGGTGTTGTGGGGGTGGTGTTGTTCCCTCTACTGGTTGACCTAATATAGCACACAGATACGCCCTAAAGGCCGCATGTGCATACACACATCTGTATGCATGTATATGTGGGTCCATACAATTATATATGCGTGTATAATCCGCTGTGATATACTTACACATACATATGTATATACGTATATATATAGGTCCATGCAATTATACATGCGTGATCTATGCGTTTATAATTCGCTGTGATATACTTACACATACATATGTAAATACATAATATAGGTACATGAAATTATGTATGCGTGCATAAGTCACTGTGATATACGCACCATCCTGGGACTTAGGGCCTGTTGCGATATATAATGCGTTAGGGTGTGAAGGTGGATTGTTAGTCTCTGTTGAGTGAGATCAAGCATTGTAACACATACGCACTAAAAATACCAAATCAGCATATACATCTACAACAACACTGATACTGACATGCATACAACTGTATATGCGTGCATAAGTAGGCGTGCTAAAGACAACATTTACCTACATACACAAATTGTGTACACCCATGTAAATATATCGTCTACCTACATAGACATACTATATACACCCATACTTACCATGCGTGGGTCCTTTTGCCTGTTTAGAGATATAATGCGTGAGGGTGTGGTGGTGGTGTTGTTGTCATTGTTGAGTGAGATCATGCGCTTGTTGGCACTGTCACCGGTTGCGGGGGCCGTTGTTTCCGGTTCTGCGATAGAGGTTGAATCGGTTAGTTGAGTGTAGTTTATAAATTACTTTGTAGCTAATGTTTAGTTGAGTTCAGTTGTATGGATTAATGTACTGTTCAACAATTAGTTGAGCACAGTTGAGCGAATTAGTTTAGTGAATTGATTAATCGACAGTTGAATCAGTTCGTTTACAACAACTAAATTTGAATTAGTTCCTATACAATAACTAAATAGTGGGAGCACAGGTGACTAAATTAATCAGGTTTAAGTTCTGTACTGAATTCATGTTTGATACAGACTATACGGATCAGTATATGACTGCAATAACTGACAATCTGCACATTCAAGTGCGGCGTAGTAGCGTTCGCTGACATGCTTGTGATACGTATGTGTCTGAAGACTCGCATGTGAGCGATACCTCCCAGTATGTGATACCTGTGCTACGTTTCTGGTACCTACGTTTCCGCAATGTGAAGATGTCATAAGTTAGATTCGATTCGTTTGCACTTAGACCGTCTTTCTGGCTGTCTGTTGATTGGTTTATTTTTAAGTTACGCCATATATATATATATATATGCGCATGAGTGGTGTTTTCGTTTCGTTTCTGGTGGGGTGTGCGTGGTGTATAGGTGTGTGCCATATTCACGTGTCTTGTCATGTTTGCGATCGAGGTGCGGCTGTGGGTAGTAAGGTCTATGAGGTATTTACGTATCTGCACTTGCGTGTCTGTGTTGGGGGTGCAGTAGTACATAGTTGTGTGTATAGGATGTTTACGTGTGTGTCGTATTTGCGTGCCTGTACTGGTAGTACATAGTTATATGTATACGATGTTTACGTGTGTGTCGTATTTGCGTGTCTGTGTAGGGGGTGGTGCAGTATATACAATTAAATGTGAGTGGTACCTACGTGTGGGCGATATCCATGTATATGTGTGTGAGGCACATAAGTATATAGCTATGTGTGTATGGTACTTACGTGTATGTGATACGTACAGTGTCCATGTCAGGGCTATAGCAGTGAATAGTAACGTGTATGCGGGGCGTAAGTGTACGCGATACTTGCGTGTCTATGTAGAATTTACAGTATAGTTATGTCTATGTGGTACTTACGTTTGTCATTCTCAGTATGTGATTGGGGTGCAGCAGTGTATATATGGCTACGTGTATGTGTGGTACCTACATGTGTGCCATACTAACTTGCCTGCATAGTGCTTGCAGTATTGCATAGTTATGCGTGTGTGGTACTTGTGTGCTATACTACCGTTCCTGCATAGTACTTGCAGCAGTGTATATAGAGTTACGTCTGTGTGGTACCTACATGTGTGCCATACTACCGTGTCTGCATAGTACTTGCAGCAGTGTATATAGAGTTACGTATGTGTGGTACCTACATGTGTGCCATACTAACGGACCTGCATAGTGCTTGCAGCAGTGTATAGTTATACGTGCGTGGTACTTGTGTGCTATACTACCGTTCCTGCATAGTACTAACAGCATTGTATATATAGTTACGTGTGTGGTACCTACATGTGTTCCATACTACCATGTCTGCATAGTGCTTGCAGCAGTGCACATATAGTTACGTGTGTGTGGTACCTACATGTGTGCCATACTAACGTGTCTGCATAGTGCTTGCGGCAGTGTATAGTTATACGTGCGTGGTGGGTACATGTGTGCGGTGTCCCATGTGTGTGTTACTTAAGTGTACGTGATACTTACGTGTGCGTGTAGGGGGTGCAGAAGTGTATAGTTACGTGTGTGCTACTTACGTGTGTGTGCTACTTACGTATGTTATACTTACGTGTATGTGCTACTCACGTGTGTGTGCTACTTACGTGTGTGTGATACTTACGTGTGTGTGCTACTCACGTGTGTGTGCTACTTACGTGTGTGTGATACTTACGTGTGTGTGCTACTAACGTTTGTGTGCTACTTACGTGTGTGTGATACTTACGTGTGTGTGCTACTTACGTGTGTGTTCTACTTTCGTGTGTGTGGTACTTACGTGTGTGTGCTACTCACAGGTGTGTGATACGTACATGTGTGTGATACATACGTGTGTGTGCTACTTACGTGTATGTGCTACTTACGTGTCTGTGTAGGGGCTGCAGTAGTGCTAGTTGCAGTTGGTGCCTTGGTGGTTTGTGTACCAAAGGCGGAGGCGCTGCCGAACGCGCCACCGAAGGCACTTGTTGTCGACCCTTCACACGTACAAGCGAGGTAATCAAACACACATGAGTTGATGATCATGTTTTTGGGGACTACGGGTGTATGGATTGTGTATGCGTCTGTAGTGCGTGAATGCGATACAAGTGATAAGACGGTGTGTGCGTGCGCTTGTATAGAGGTGTGTTTGAATATTATGACTACATAGGGCGAGAGTAGTACACAGATGTACCAAGGCAATGCATGAGTGTGCCTGTATACGAGAAGTGTGCTAGGTTGCGCAGTGAGGCGAGATGTAAGTAGGAAAATATCCTTGTACTTGTTGAGAGTGTGCCTTGAAGACTATAGCGTGTGGTGCATGCGAATGTACCTTACGTATGTGTGTGTGTGCGAGTGTGTACTTGTAGGTGGGGTGTGTGTGAGTGTGTACTTGTAGGTGGGAGTGTGTGTGAGT